AACTGTAAAGAGGTTGGACATTTCAGGAATCAATGTCCAAAAGACAAGAAAGAAGTTAACGCTGCAGTAGACCATTCAGATGATGATGTTTTGATCTGTAGTGTGGAGAGCAATGTGGATTCCTGGGTTATGGATTCGGGTGCTTCATTTCACGCTACCCACAGCCGTGAAGCACTGCAGAATCTAAAAGAAGGAGATTTTGGTAAGGTAAGACTGGCGAACGATGAGGTTCTTGATGTGACGAGCATAGGTGACTTAGTTTTGAAGACTCCAGTTGGTCCATGGACTTTGAAGGATGTCCGGGTAATTCCAAGTCTGAAGAAACAATTGATTTCTGTTGGGCAGTTGGATGAACAGGGACACGAGGTTAAGTTCAGGAATGGGCAGTGGAAGGTTGTCAAAGGAAATCTTGTGATAGCTCGTGGACATAAGAAGGGTTCATTATATATGGTCAGATTACCATCTGAGGGAGTAACCGTCCCAGTTCAGAAGAAAAACAAAATCCGGTTCATAGAGTCTCGTGGACAGAAGAAGGTTTGCTTTGCAGATGGCAAACCCAGAGTCACAGGTCAGATTCAGGTTGAACGTGTTTGGAACGGTTCAGAAAAACCAGTCAAGGGCATTCATAGCAGTGGGAGCAAGGGTTGTGCTTCAGCTAGAATACCCAGAACACAGTGGGTTAAGAGAACCAGTATTCCATCTGTAAAAGTCTCTCCAGATTATCTGCTTCATATGGAGAGTGTCGTTTGTTCTCAAGATGTTCCAGGATCGGGCAGTTCATTTCAGTGGGAGCCGGTGGAGACAGAGAACAGGTCAGTGGCAGACTTAGTCATGACTGATGTGTTGGAGCTAACGGAAGCTTCAACTGGCCTTCAGGATAATTGAAGAGAAGGCCGGGTAATTAGGATGGAGTCAAGGTCAAAATCGTTTTACAGAAATACAGATGCACAGTTGAAGCACAGGTGAAAACTGTTTCGTGGCTTCAAGTGGGAGATTGTTGAGTGGTGAAGCCACTTGTTTAGTGGCAGACAAAAGTAAAGGCAAAAAACATGCAAGAAATCATGGCACCATGTTTCACGGATCATGATTAGCAGCTACTTTTGACAACTTGCAATTTCAATCTCTATATATAGTAATCATATGTATTTGTAAACTGTGTACCAAGATCAATAGAATATATTCCCAGTTACCAAGAGTGGACGTAGGTCAGAAATTCGACCGAACCACTATAAATCATTGTGTTCTTGTTTTTCTATAATTTGTGAGCTGAGAGAGAGAGTTTCGTGTTAGTGTCTCGATCCTAACATCACGTGTTATATGATGTATTATGAGTTGCAGGTCCAACATTGGCTCCTTTGAAAATAGATGAAAGGTAAACATATTAACCGTGTAAAATTCGGATAAATAAATGAAAAATATTACATGTGACAATTCTTTGTAAAATATGGATTGTGTGTATGTGCAAAATCCGTGTTAGTATGAAAAAGGTTCAACATGCTCCACTTGATAAAAAAAGGGAAAACATAACTGTGTAAAATATGGATATTGTGTGTGTATAAAACCTGGATATAATAAAGCTAATTTAGATTTAAAGAGGAGTAACCAGAAAACTAACATGAATTTATACAATTTTGTTGTTTCTTACACTGCTATTTCTTATATTTTGTCCATGTTTAAGGTTAAGAAGTTAAAATGTTTCATTTTGGTTTTGTAGAAATCAACTTCGCAGGGTTTTAGCAAGAACAATGATGAAATTAACATGACAGATTGACAGGTACATGTGGCATTTTATGCAATTTTTAATGGGTAAACTTAATATACGATGTCTAACTATGTATAATTAGAATGGTTTTTCTAATTCAGAGGAAGTAAGTTGCTATTACTTGCAGCTAACCTCTCTCTCTCTCTCTCTCACACATAAAGGGGTAAAGCGCCCATTTTACTCTCTCTATGTGTGTGCAATGGCTATTATTTTATTTATTTCAAAAAAACTAATGAATTTTTTATCCATATACATAAACAAATTTGGTAGGAAGGATAAAATCTTCAGTTTTTATTGTGATGTCATGATGCCGTTTTATGCTTTTTATTGTCACTTTTCTTTGTGATGCAAATGTATTAAAAAGCGATCCAACATCCAGGCCTGCAAGATTGACCATTAACAAGCACGATTAATGATTATCAAATTGGTTTTAATATATGTTTGGATGATAACAGATTAGTAGAGTACTGTACTTTATTATTTAATGAGTTGCAACTTTTTTTTTTGACAATAATAGACATGTTAAGGGTGTTATTTAACGGTTGAAACTTTTGTTTTAATAGGGTTATGTTTATATGATGTGCCGAATTAATTTTTTGAAAACCAGATACAGTAGACAAACACTGGATTTTTCAGGGAAAAACACAAATAACATTGATAATATTATGTATTAACCGACAATGATAAATATTATTATAATATCTAAACTTAAAGAAATGATTAAAGGGGAAAATCAAACATTCATTGGAATTAAACAATACTTATCAAATATAAAATAAATCATTCTTAACTTTTTTAATCGAAAAAAGTCTTCAAGAAAATTATTTTAAGTATTAAAGGACTCTATATTTTTTTAAAATTGAATAATTGATACTAAATAATATTTTAAATCCATAAGTTTTTTAAAATGATTCAAATGGTGGAACACTGGAACTACACTTTTACTATGAACTAGGGAAGGGTTGCCCCCGCTCTGCGGGGGTCAATTGGTATCATAAATTTTTTTTCTAATTTTGTTGTATTGTTATGTTAATAATAGAACGTAAAGAAGAAACAAAACATATATACTACCAACTTATTTATGATCAAGAATAATTACATAGAAACATTCAGCTGTCTTTTGGTGTTGATGTTATTTAAAGCTGCTTCTAGCATCTGAATTTTTTTTTGTGTGTATGAGTGTAGTTATTTGTGTGTTAGTCTGACGATTTGGAATGAAGGCTTATTCTAATTTATGGTCGTTTAATTTTACGTGGCAGGTTAGAGAAGTAATGATAACATTTAAATCTTGTTTATGTTTATTTCAATTTCTGACGTTTGAATGATCTTCGGGTTTGATATGGTGGTTCACAAAAGTTAATGAGGCATGTCTATGCTTTTAGGGTGGCGTTTCTTTAAGCAACTTTTTATTATTTACTATATATTACATGCGCTTATAGGTAAAAACGAAAGACTTAGACATCTGTGAACTTCTTCATCAACTGCTTGTATTTGCCAATTCGTTTGTGAATTGACCCCAGCATAAATGATGTATTGTCTTGCATGGATAGGTTTTCGGTATTTGCATCTTCAAGAAGGTCTTTTATGATTTTGTAATTGCTACTATTTTCTTCTATAGAGAGATTGCTGTTAAAATCGTCATGGATTTTGGCTCCTTCTTCAATTGTTATTTGAACCGCCTCCATCATGTCACTGACCTCTCGTAGATGAGTAATCAGTTGTTGTAAAATTTCTCGAACTTGGACGTCTTTCATATTTGTGTAGTGTAGTATATGTTTTACTGTGTGTATGTCAAGTCATGCTTTGGTTCTTATATAAGTGATTCATATGGAGTTTTACTGTGCTTTTGTAATTCGTGGCATGATATGTAGTCTCATAGTCACATCAGTGTTATGACATGTATGCTTCAATTAACAATTTCGTGGCAATACTATATCTATTTTAGGTGAGTAGGTTATAGGATATGAAACGATGAACGCATATTAGAAAAGGTTTTTTTCTTGTTTTTTTTTATGTTATTTTTAATAACCATCCAACTTTCATTATTTTCATTGTAAGTCCATTAAAAGGATTGAAGAAACAGTTTATTATTTAATTAGATTTTGATATTAAGTGATAAAGACGTATAAAAACATGTTGTTTGTTTTTTTTTATTTGTTATCTAATTTCGTTGTAAGTACTTTTTGTATTTGAAATTTGAATTTAATGGTGTCAGTTTTGGTTATTGAAGCGTTGACATATTATTAAGACTGTGGTAATGACATGTGTGATTAAAGTGACAGTTAGGTGGCGATACTATGGCTATCTAGGATGTATAGGTTACAAAGATCAATTACCTTCTGGTGTATGTAAAAGGAAATTTAATCTTATCGGAATTCATGATTAAATATCTTTTTAAAAAAAAATACTATATAAGGAACTTTTTATATTGATATGTAATGTTATGTATTTGAATAATATACATATTAACATTTAATTATAACAGTGGTTATTTAATTATACAGTATTGTAATATTTTTCGTAAAGGATGCATATATTATTTTATTGGAACATATAATGATCTAAATGTCCTTGTCATGATTTTTATTTTATAAAAGAATTATGAGCTGATGACAAATACTTTTATTAATACGACTGCTTAAAAATAACTTTTTAAAGAAAAATATGAGTTATAAGTAAAGTAATTTTTTTCATTGTATATAATTTATAGGTTCAACAACTGTTAACTCATTTTAATATTGTATCATATTATTGTATCTTATATAAGTCTTATTAATTATCATCACGATATACTAATATAGTACAAAACATTTTAGTCATGGTTTTTTGTTGTTGGTTCATATTATTGCATTTTACTAATGACAAATACTTTTATTAATAAGGATTAACCTATTTTAATATAATATATGTATGACCGTTTTATTATAATACTGAAATTTACAGAGACAGTAATTTTTTTTTATAGTAATTCATTTTATATAACTGCTATTCTCATCATATACTAATAATATAGCACAAAAGATTTTACCTGTGTTTTTCTGTTACTGTTTTCATACAAAATGTGTATTACTTATTCTATTGTACTACAGTGCAAATAACAAAAAAAAAGTCGGAATGATCATTGGATTACGTTGTTGTTTACTGCACTCTACGTCCTCGCTTTTGTTGTTTTTTTGGTGCAGATTCAGCTGTATATGAATAAAAGGATAGTTAGTTGCCTTTTTTTTATTTTATTTTCTTATGTGAATAGAATGTATATGTAAGTACCGGTAGTGTCATATGATAGTTTCCTTGATGCATGTGGTGTTTCAGCGGTTGTGGAAGTTGTTTCGAGGTTAGGATTGATCTGAACATTTGAAGATTGTGGAAGTTGTATTGGACTGAGTGGTGTTGCTGTGTTTGTAGGTGCCAAAATTTGTGTTGGTGTAACTGGTGTAAGTGTCTTATTTGGTGCGGTGATTTCATGCACATCAACAATTATAAAACGGATGTTTTTGGTGGTAGATCCTCTTAACATTTGAATTGACATAATTTTTGATGTGTCTTTGTGATTCATGATCATTGGTGGCAAGAACTTTCTATCACTTACATGGTCATCGGTTATTATTTTTTCCGGTGGACTGCCAATTAGTTTTCGGGCTGAGGCATCAGTCATTAGGGCAGATATGGAGCCTGTTGGATCCGTTAGATCTATAACTATTTTGTACCTGTATAGAGGTAAGCTATATTAGTAAGAGTGAATGCAGATTGGTTGTTTAGTCATTATAATTCTTTTATTATAATCATACTTACAGGAAAGTAGGCAACTCTGTTTTTCCATGAGCACTACAAAACCAGTAGTTGCCTTTCCTGAAAATTGGATCCTTGCATGTTGGGCACAATACTTGGAACCAGTAATCTTTGAATGTGATTTTTGACAACACGCCTTTTACACAGAATGTTTTATCCTACGGTTTTAGATCATCATAGTGTTATAACTGTGTTAATCATGTGTTAGGAAGTTGTTATTGAAGTATATAACCTACCAGTAGGTCGTTATGATTTTTATTAATCAATTCATGCACTGCTATCAGTGGTCCGGAGAGTGTCGGAGTTGGTGGTGTAGGACCAGTAAACCTGCAGTCAGATTTTAGAAGTAAATTTTTTTATTAACATTTACTAAATATTTTTTAATAACCATAATGGACCTGTCGATTAAAAGTGTTGTCTCCTGTACTGGTGGATTAACATAGACGTGTGTGGCAGGTGATGATCCAAATCTTAGAGTTCCTGTAAAATGTGTGAACAATGTATGTCAATAGTTTTAAAGAGGATAATGTAATTATTTATATAATTGTTATTAAACTGCAAATACTGTTTGGTTATTGTTACCAGCAATTATTGAACTCTTTATATTTGTAATTGCAACAATTGTTGTTGCAGGAGGAGGTGCCAACTGTTCACGTTTTAATTTTTCAGGAACATTAATACATTCTTTCCATAAACTGATTGCTGTTTCATCACCACTGAGTTTTATGTATAAGGGAACCATTAGAACCAGTAAAAATAATTTAAGAAACGATTAATGATGTATAAGTATATATTATGTACCTTTCATCTGCAAGAATTACAAGAATGAATTCCTCTCTATCAGCCTTTGTGCAATTTCTGATTTTTTTTAGCACACCAATGAAATCTGTTGTTTAAAATAAATTTTGGTTACAAATAACGTCTATATTAATATAACATCTTTTCTATAAATACCTGGATAATATGGAGGGTTTTCACCTAGGTCAATCAGATCAGTTTTAGAAACAAATCGAAACCAGGTTGTAGGGATTGTAATAGTGTCAGGAAAGGGAACAATTACAGACGCAAGGCCAACATCAATATAGATTTCATTTTCTAGAATTTTCTGATACTCTGCTAGATAGGGACATGTATATTCTGATATTGTATAGCAGTTGTGAATATGAAGAACTGATTCAATGTATCATTGGTTGCTTCTTTGTCCCAAAATCTGTATTGCATCTCCCTAACGCATTAAAATGTGGGTACATCTTAGTAACAGTAAATAATTTTAGTGTATTGTTTTTATGTGAATTTGTGTGTACTCACATATCTGTCTACAGCAAGATACCATGTTTCATACCGACGGTAGTCTGATTTCCATTTTCGCAAGATCCGCACCTGTAATGGACCTCCTTCGCATGCATACTTTAAGTCAGATATGTTAGTCATAATGCTGTCAAATAAAACAACAAACCATTAGCTGTTTATTATATAAAATAATTATAATACACAAATAATAATTAGTAATGATGTTATGAACCTCATTACTGTTAACTCTGGATAAAAATTCTTTAAATACAACGTTTTTTGTTGATTCTGGCATGTATTTTCATCATTGTTTATCAGAATTTTTAGTGAACAGGGAGATGTTGCTCTTGATAATGCAACGTACAGTTGACCATGTGTGAATACAGGCTGTGGCAAATAAATACCAATTTTCTTTAATGACTGACCCTGACTTTTATTTATCGTCATGGCATAACAAATTTTAATGGGGAACTGTTTGCGTTCAAAGGCAAATGGTAAGTCAGGAGGTTTGTGAATGAATTTTATGCGGGGTATGTATACACGCTTACCAATGCATGTTCCTGTTATTATTATTGCTTCTACTACAGTTGGAAGTAGTTGTGAAACAATTAACCGTGTACCATTACACAAACCTTCCCTCTGGTTAATGTTTCTTAATAACATTACAGGAGCTTTTACTTTCAGCCTGAGGGCGTGAGGCGGGATCCCTGCAAAAGTTAACTGGTTTAGATATTCAGTTGGATATAAACTTCCAACTCTGATGTATACTTGCCATTTGGTTGCATAGTGTCTGTGCTTTTATAAACCCTTTCTTGGGTCGTCATCATATCTAGAACTGTTGTATTTAAGGCATTGGCAGTCTCATTTGTGGGACAGACAATAGCTCTTACAGACAAATCAGATGGTGATGGATTGTGCAGCAGATCATTTCCATATACAAAGAGTATTAATGTTTTTAAAGAGTCACTATCTTGAGGTATCAAAAGTGAATCTGGTATTTCTACCCAGCTTGTACTATGTGGATCATCTGTAGCGGGAATTCCTAAAGTCCCATTTCCAATATTAAGTAACCATTCTGCAAAAGCGGATATAGATAAGCCGTTAGTTACATCAGTTTCACAACCTGCTAAACGCATGTTCTGATGCAATTTACAAATCTTAAAACACGACCACAGATACGAATTTGGAAGAGTTAATGCAATGATGTGAGTCCGAGTACTTTTTGGGGAAACTGGAAGTGTCTGACGGAAGTCTCCGCCAAGGAGGACAGAAATACCACCAAAAGGCCGGTTTTCACAATCCAGAACATCTCTAAGAGAGCGATCAAGATATTCAAAACAGCGTCGATCATTCATAGGTGCTTCATCCCATATAATGAGTGATGTCTGTTTTAGTAGATCTGCAAGTATTGTTCTTTTTTTTATGTTACAGGAGGTTTTTTCAGCCAGGTCAATGGGGATATTAAACCTTGAATGCGCAGTTCTTCCGGAAGGTAAAAGAAGGGACGCAATCCCAGAAGCAGCAACCGCAAGTACAATTTTCCCAATAGACCGGAAATATGCAAGCAAAGTAGTCCACAAAAATGTTTTCCCTGTCCCACCATGACCATACACAAAAAGTAACACCTGCTTTTTATTTTGTTCAGATACCACAACAGTGTTATAAACATACATTTGATCTTCATTCAGTTGTAAAACCATTTGTGAATGTTGTTGCTGCAAAGATTCCTTGTCATAACTTGATTCTTCTAACAAAAGTCGGTTCTGTAGGATAGCAACAGCAGCTGGATTTGGCATGGGTAAATGGAAATCACCTAATGATTTTGAAGGTGTAGAAGACCTAAGCATGTTCTCCAACTCAAAAAGCAGCTGTTGTTGTACTACATCATCAGCTATGTGATACACTTTATCTGGGAAGTCAATTTTTAATTTCAACATGTAGTCGTCCATCATTTTGCACCATGCATTTTCCCAAAGTAGTTGTGGATTACTTACTTCACAAAACAGCAGCAAATGGCAGAAAAGAGAACGTAATTGTGAAGAAGTAGCCCATAATGAAGCCTCTCCAAAAGCCGTTAACCATTCCATGTCTTCACCTATCAAACCTAATGCATTACATGCACTTCGAAAAGTTGGATGAAGATGACCAGAGACTGTACGAACATCTTCATAAGACTGACATCCCATCTGATGACAGAGCAACATACGAAAATAGAATAACTCTCCTGAAGATGGATGTACAAATACAAGTCTACCTATAGTTTTTGAAGATTCCAAAACTCTTTGTTCCCATTTTTTAAATTGAGGATCCCATGTATATCTGTTGGGGTAGTCAATATAAGTAAGATCACGACCCTTTGGATCTGTTATATTATTATCAAACCATCCAAGTAGTGGTGTCTTAGCAAAATCAGGAATACGAAGAACATCCTCTACTCTACCACTTTCCTTGAATACCACATGCTGCATATTTAGTAAGTGAACAGGCAATGTCATGACAGGGGGATGCCGTCGATGAATGAAAAAGTTTAATATTCTCCATGCAGCTTCATGTGGGCAAATGTAACGTGCATCTAAGAAATTATGAACCTCATTACAAGTGCGACTTGTGAATCAGAAGTACCAGTAACAGCTGCCTCACTTTTCTGAACAACGAACCTAACACGTTCAACTCCTTTTGAAATATATTTAAACAGATATTTGATCATCATATTCCATCCACAATACTCAACATTTATGTGTGCATTAAACCGACTACACAATCTCTTGTTGTATGGTACTGAATATCCATTATCAATCATAGTGCCACTTTGCATTATGTGATGTGCAATTGAGTTCCTTTTGTAGTGTGCGTACCCTTCTTTATCAAAACTTGTAGCATCATGAAAAGGTTTAGGAAAGTGCTTACTACATTTCCCATCCTTCATACAAGGAGCCTTATAATTCAGTGGACCACATGGGCCATGAATCATACACGTCGTTACCGTGTGATAGAGGGACGCTTCCAAGACAGGATCTGGAAGTTCTGCACTTATAAAGTTATCAATGTCAGCAGGCTGCCGAATACTATCTGATTTGGATACCCATAAAAGCGTGTGGCAATGCGGTAAACCTCTTTTTTGAAATTCTATAGTATACAAATCTGAAATATATAAAAAAAATATAAATAATTAAAAATCATAAACACAAAATAGAAGTAAAAAAAAAAAAAAAAAAGAACACACTTACGTGCTTCAACTTTGCCAAAAGTTTTGTCCTCTTTAAGAAATGAAATGAAGGCCTTGACTTTCATTTCAAAAACTCTAGCTATCACATCAGCTCTACTATGAACATCATGTTGACTATAAGTTTCCATATACCGTGTTATTTCCGGCCACTTTACATTACATGTAAATGTAATAAAGTATTGTGGATTTCCATATACTATATCGACAATGCATCTTGATAATGACTATACATATAACGGGGGCCACCAATAAACGATGCAGGTAAGAAAACCCGTTTACCAACAAATTTATTCTCTCTATCCCCTTTAGACAGAGCATCATAAAGACCAGATAGATAGTCAGACCTTAAATGTTCCTGGTTATTCAAAATAAACTGTAAACGATCTGCTTCAATACAGGTATAAGCATCAACCAGGTACTGCTAGAAAAGTCGACCCGAGTTAAGGATAAGAGAGTATATATCCCGACGCGCATGAATCTGATAACTATAATACATGTTTACTGTTAGGTTTCTAATACGCGCAGCTGCATCACCCCGTAATTTCAAACGTGGACACCAGCCGTCCTCACCAAACGGAAACAGCAAAGGATATTGTAATGGCATATAACTGGGATGTAGTTTACTCACTCGTTGAGGACGACCGGATTTAGAGTGAACAATAATATCATAGTTGGCTGAATTACTATCATCACCAGTAACAATACAACCTAAAGTGCCAGGAGCTGGTGAACCGTATCTACGATCATGAATGTTATTATATAAACGAACTGCATAAGACTCCATATTCATAACCTCAGCCATCTCCTTAGCTGTTTTAAATGTCTTAACATATTGATTGTGATTAGAAAGGGATTCCATCAGAACACGCACAATACCAGCATCCTAATCTTTCCTAGCAGGATCATGAAAGGCCTTTAATCGATTGGAAACCTCATTAGCAGTATCAACAACATACAACTGCAAAAATCTTGGACCTTTAGAATCATCAGGACATAAAGACCCTATCCAGTGATAAACCTGACCTGAAACCTTAAAAACATAAGGGCCGCGACCATTATTAATATCCTTATCAACAACAGCTCCAAAAGATGTCATGGAAAACATACTATTATAACCTCTTATATCAGTAAAAAACTGAATATCTTCATAAAGTTTAGAAATTTCAAAAGGAGGCGTTAACGAAAGAGGCAAAACAATAGAACCCCCCTTACAACAGTGATTATACTTAGGATGATTGGTTTCATAACGATTTCTAAGTCTTTCCACAAACCAGAAAAGAGCTCCACAAAATTCACAAACACAAACACAATCACCACAGTCATAGTATGTAGGAAGACCACCATAAGAAATAAGTCGGGACCGTTTACTTGTACGCATAACAGGAGTAGCAGACACAGAGCACTCCCCAGACTCAATAATGCTACGCTTCTGACCCTTACGCATATGAACCAAGAAACGAAAGAAACAGCAAAAGATAATGAACCGCAGTGAAGGGAAGCAAACAAAAACCCTAACAGAGGAAATACCAAAAACCGGGAAAAGGAGAAGCAGAAGTAAATTACCTGGAGCAAAAGATGAGGAAAAGGGAAAAGAAAGAAGGTCGGCTAATATATTCAAGGAAGAAAAAGAAAAAGAAACGTAAGTTTGAGTCAAAGCAAGGGAATATGATGGAAATAAAGTGGTCAAAGTAAAAAAAAAACCCAAAAAAGTACCCTGGAGCAAAAGATGAGTAAAAGGGAAAAGAAAGAAGGTCGGCTAATAAAGAAACGTAACTTTGAGTCAAAAGAAGGCAACATGATGGAAATAAAGTGGCGAAAGTAAAAAAACCCAAAAAAGTACTGTAGACAAGTCTCCCCACTTTTAAGTTTATATATAATGTGGTGATTGCA